AATCAAATTTAAATTTTTTAAATGATTTTTTTAACTTTAAAGGAATTGTAATTACTAGATATTTAAATTTTTATTTGAAGATATTTTTGCGCTAAATATCGAATTTCTACAAGTAAAATATACCTTGACTATTTTTTCGATCCACGCATTGATCTTGCAATCGCTGCTTTAAATAATAACAGTGTAGTGTGTGCTTAGACGAGGCCAGGGCAACCTTGGTCGGCTGAAGGCAATTGACTTGAACTTCGCGACAGATCGCGCATCAATCATGGCAAAATATATCAGCGGGAAGAGTAATTCAATTATATTCTCAGGGCTGTGCGGCCACAAACGCAATCTCTAGGGGCTACAGTGGGGAAGAGTCTACTGCGTAGTTTGCATGCCAGGCGGCGCCACGCCCACATTCCAAGTGTTTCTTTTGTTTTTGTTGAAATCAAATTAACCCACATTCGGTTAGCATTTTGAAGCATTCACACATGCCCAGATGGATGTGCGTGTCCCCCTTGGAGCTGTTTCAAGCGATGCATTGAAGTGCATCCAAGCGCATTGGCAGCACACGTTTACGTCTCCACCAGCTCCTCCGCGTGCGGAATCAATCAGACTGATTGAAATGCAGCACTCCAGTGTTGCAAACAATTCAATTTAGCAGCAACAATAATCTGCGATTAAATGTGCCGTCAAAGAGATTACAGACCACAAAAGCTGACCGCGCCCAACTCAATACCCACAGAGCAGCATCCGCCTCGAAGCCAAGCAATTTGCAATTCTCTCGTTCGCTGTGCTCCATTTTGCATTTGCTTGTGTGGGTATAAAGCTACCAGGTGGCATGCTTCATGCCTTCTCCTCCCACATTTTCTATGTCAATCAGAAGCATCATCTTGTTCACTTGACACACAAAAGGCGCTTGAAGTGCTGCATGTGGCAGCTGAATCTGACTTGTTTAAATTTATTCATGCTGCTGACGATGATCATTGTGGGTTCATAAAATCTCAGCTCTCTACAATTCGTCACGTGGATGCCATATGTATAATATTTGACCCATTGTCCAAGCTGTGACACGTGCCTAATGGACAACAAGTATTGAGTAACCACATTGGCTCTGATGTAAGCCACACATCAGTGGGTCTTTGTACCGATTTGATTGCCTAGTCAAATGGAAATAGATCTGGGTTAGGTAGAGTCATGCCACACAGTCGGTTTTAATTACTTTATTATCAAGATTTTTTTTTTAAAAACTTACTTTTAAAACCTTAAACCTTTAAGCCAAACTAAGTTGATTTCCTTAAATATCATGATTTGTTCACCTACAACTTTTGAGAATCTCCGAGAGAGGCGCAAATTGCCAATATATGAATAATTCATTTGTCAGTTGAAGTGTTCAGTGAAGTGTCATTAATTAAAGCGCTTGATCGTTAAAAACAACAACAAACGTAAACAATTGCCTTTTGATGAACACAAGCTGGCAGCAATTATTTTTATTGTTCTTTGTTGATCTATTATATAAATCGGCCCGAGCGCATCGTTCACAGCAGAGCATCTTTGCAGTCTGTTTCCCCTATTGCTTACTTAAGATAAGCGCTAGTTTCAGTAGTTGATCTTAACTTTTCTGGTATACCCTGTACTCTTTGAAGATGGGTAAAAGGGGTCTAATTGTCTTATACATTTGTGTGTTACAGTCTGAAGGAGGCTTAACCCAAATTATGGATATATTTATATATACGTGAAATGATTGAAAAGTAGAACTAACCATGTTCGTCTGTCTGCTAGGCTTGAATTTTGCAACGTACCTCCGCAAAGGAAAAGTTTTCGATTTCGATTTGATGCCATATGAGAACCTATGTTCAAAGTTTCATGTATCTTGCTCTTATTATCTCTGAGATCGAAAAGAAGTTAAAGCCTTGTACTAGCTAAAGGCACACTAAAATCGGAGAATAGCGTGCATACAGGGTATCTACTAGCCGTCACTTCTGACCAAAACAATCTTGTGTTTGTGGCTTATGTTGTCGTGAAAAGCAACCATTCTGCTTATGCAACTGGCTGTCAAGCAGAGAACTTTTTAGTTAAGCGCTTAAAAAAGCACAGTCGCAGTCACAGCTCATGATCATCATTCAAAAGACAGACAAATTTGTAGGAATCTCATAATTGCGATGCAGCGAGTGGGGCACAAGGAAAGCTTGTAATGCAGCAAGCTTTAATTTCAATTTAACAGATGCAGAAATGACAGACTTGACTGCTATTTGATACTTCCACTAAAAACCTAACAAAGAACAATTAATATCGGGTTGCTGATGATTTAATATCTCTACCGATCGGTCGACAAATGTACAAACTATATTTATTCTCCCCTGATCGTGCATTGCTATATAGTAGCTAGCTTTATGGTATAGAATTTCCATATCGATAACATTTTAGTTGGCATGATCAAGATATATGTAAGAAAAAACTTAGCAACATTCGTTTTTTATACCCTGAACCCATTAAAAATGGGTATGTAACAGGCAGAAGAAGAAGCATCTCCGACCCCATTAAGTATATATATTCTTGATCAGCATCAATAGCCATGTCCGTCTGTCTGTCTGTCCGTCCGTCCGTATGTATGAACGCAAGGATATCAGAACCTATAAGAGCTAGAGAAATTTTAGCTGTAGGTCCTCCTAGTCCCCGCGCAGATCGAGTTTATTTCCGATATTCGATAACTTGCCCCGTTTCCAAGTAATCGATAAAAATCGATATCGAAATCCTGTTTTTTGAGCAATTTCGGCAAATAATATGAGCTAGAGCCACCAAACTTGACATGTAGCTTCTAGAATAGTATATATGTATATATCAAGTATCTTTCATTTTATACCTATCGCCTGTTGGAATAAGAGAGTTCAGGGTATCCCCTAGTCGGGAGCTCCCGACTAGAACCTCTTACTTGTTTCCATATGTATTATGGTAAATACATTATGCATATTATTCAACTATCAATATAATGCAGCTTGTAATTGGTTAGATACAAATTTTTAGTTTGTCCGGGATACAATACTGTCTGTAAGATAAAATACCTTTTCCAAAATTCATCAATTAAAAAGACAAACCGAGAGGCGAGCCACGACTATAACATCTCAGTTCTAGATTATACACACAACTTGCTTTAGGTGATGTGTTCTTTATGGGTTACATTTTTCTTGATTAAGTTATGAGATCCACTGTGAGGGCATAATAAATTTAGAAAATGGCATTTTATGTCTGGCATTTGGCAACTGTAGCAGCAACTGTCAGTTCATTAATCATATGAAGCTCCCAGAAGCTGCGTCATTTGAAACTGGAAGCCACAAACGCTCTTCTCTCCCTCGTCCCATCTGCCCAACTCTGTGCATTCGAAATGAGCGCGAGTTGAAAGCCCATTCAAGTTTTACCTACTCCACAAGGGGCAGATGCCCCTGTATTATGCTCAGCATCTGGGCAGCTGTTGTCTGGTGGCAATCCTTCCCTGTGCTTGTGTGCATGCCCCGCGGCCGCCAAATGCACATCCTGCCATTAGCAGGAGCCGCACTCTAGACGACGCCTCATTTCATGGCATAATTTATTGATAATTAAATTTGAAATTCTTTCCATCTGTCTTTCTGGTCCGCTTCAGGCAGGCACTCCCACAACAATTGACGCCGATGAGGTGAATGCACTGCAACTGGAGGCGGTAAATTCCCCGCACCGCAATTGCAATTAAGACACAGCTCTAATTGGAGAGTTCAGAGGCAGAGCCAGAGCCAGGGCCAGCGCCAGCAGCATCTCGACAAGATGCCGTCGCTGCGGCAAAAGGTCACCACGTACTTTCGACAATTGAGTTTCATAGCGGAGCCGCGCGATGGCCGGAGGCGCGTCAACGGCAACGCGGAGGAGGACGATGGTAGCTTTATAACCAAATATCTAGAGGGGTAAGTGACCTTTGACCTTAATTAAGTAAAGCAACTAACAGTTTTTTTAATCTATTTTACAGTCGCATGGAACGTGAGTTTATGCCCGGCGGACCGGAGATCTACAATGGCCTGAATCCCACAGATATGCCCGTGCTGAAGCTGGGCTGCTACGCCACCGGCCCGGAAACCATCACTGCCGCCTGCACTGGTCCAGACGAGGGCCTAACAGGCATCAAACGCTCCAAGTTGCATTTAAGTGCCAGCTATGCGGATGACATTGACTTCATCGACACACAGCAGGAGAACGAGGATGCGTATGGTGTGCGCAAGAGTACGCCAGCTGCGCCGGCGCTTGGCCCGTCGACGCGGCTGAGCAACAAGTTTGCACGGCCCACGGGCTCCAGGCGCCAGAGCAATGCGGACCAGGCCACAACAGGAACGGCAGCTACAGGAGCAACAGCTGCCGCAGGCATGCGATCCAGGAAAAATTCCAAGAGCAGCTTATCCGCCGTGTCGGCTGCAGCTAGCGAGAGCGGCGGCAAGGCCACCACCATAGTGGTCAGCATGGTCAGCAGCAGCAATTGTCCCGCCCAGGATCAGAACAACAAGAATCTTCTAAATGCTAAGACTGAGGCCGCCACGGCTGCCGGACACGGCAACTCGGAGCGCGAACGGCTGCTCCGCGAAGCGGTCAGCAATCAGAACGTCGCACCCAACCCCATCGCACACGCAACGCCGGTGGCCGGCGTCCAAAACTGGCAAATGGATTGCGACTTTGCCTACGGCATCTCAGTGTCGCTCTACGAGAACAACATGCTGACCAAGGAGCCCATGGGCAATCCCATTGCCGACTGCTATGGCTGCGTTGTGCGTGGCGATGCCGCCGCCATGGCCATGGCCGATGGCGTCAACTGGGGTGAGTCTGCCAATGAGGCTAACAGAAACAAATAGAGTAAATCCTGCAAATTGATCAACGTTTGAACATTCTTTGCGTGAAGAGCTAGACTCCGACATTTAAAATTCTTCATTTATTTCTATATAATATTTGGATAAAGTCGATCTAGTGTAAATGAGCTACTGGCCGGCGTACAGATCTCAGTCTTACCAGGGCCAGCAAATTACAAGACATTTGTCATTTTGCTAGGACGTTGAAGGGATGGGGAACGGGAGGGGATTATTTCAAACGGGTTAAACTGTGCTACAATACAGAATTCATTCAAGAGTCTCATTCGAGGACGGTGTTGACCAACCGATCATCAGCTACGCACGGTTACAGCGGCGGCTGGCCGTTAAATTTAAACTTGAATTGTGACTGTGGATACTTGCCCGTGATTAATAATGCCCTACAATAATGCTTATACTCTATGCTTACAGACTAATAATAATAATCAAAAATATAAATCGAATGGCTCCTTGCTGCTCCAGGTAGCCGCCTCACACACACACACACACAAACCCCCCCTCCCCCTTACTTTGAAGAGGTGACGGTGACGCTGCCTTTGGCGTTCAAAGTGACGCCGTATACTTTATCGCCTTCGGTTACATGGAACCGAAATCGCCGAGATCGGCCACGGCGGAACCTCATCTCGGCCTCGATGAGTTCTACTACGCCCGATGAAAGGGGCGCTCCGTGGAGGAACACCCTCCATGCCCTGGGAGTACAGTACGGGACGGGGTTACTCGAGATCATTGCTGAAGTGGGGTTCCTCGGTGCTGCTTCCGGGACGGGATTCCCCGAGATTATTGCAGAAGCGGGGTTCCTCGAGATCGTTGCTGAAGAGGGGTTCCTCGGTGCTGCTTCCGGGACGGAATCCCGCGAGGCTGCTACTGGGTTAAGGTCTGCCTTCTCATTGAGCACCGACTCCAGATTGGTGTCCCACCCATCGATTCCGTCGTATAGATCCAATATATTCTCCCACAGCTCGCTATCTGTGGCGGTGGCACCTTCCAAGGGCGTTTCGAGAGTCTCGCTTGGCGTAGCCGGCACCAGCGGCGGCATTACATCTTCCTCCTCGGTCCGCGCTTCTTCCACAACAACTGCCTCGTAGCATCCTCCTCGGGCAGTTGCTATCGATCCGCAGTTGCGGTTATCCTTCCTGAACTGGAAAGGACCCTTTAGGCGTTCGCGCGGCAAACTCGGCACGTTAAGCTGCTGTCCTCCCGGTATCGTACACTCCGGACGAATTTTTTTCGGATTCACCGCCGTCCCTTCGATGCTGGAATTCTGTTGACAACCACCCCGGTGGCGGTTTCTGCGGCGTTTCCTCCGGCGTTTGCCGTCGGGGCCTTCCCCTGCATCTGTCCACCCACATTTCGGTGGGCCGGAGTGGATTCCACTACCCTCCTCGGGGATCTTTGGCAAGTATCGGAGGCTCACCCGTTGGAATTGGCTGTCCGGGTCGACCGCCGGCCTGTGGGTAGGAAAGCGGCGGCGGAATAGAGGTCCTTCGCCTTCGTCGTCTGTCACTGGCTCATATATCGCCGTGTGTTTCGATGCTGGCTGGTCCCCTTCCTCGAATGGGTCAGGGTCATAGTAGCGCCGACAATCCTCGGCGGCGGATACAGCGTCGGTGACCACTCCCTCCGGCGGTGCGTACTCCGGCTCCTCCTCCTGTCGTCGTCTATAATAAGCGCGTACATTATGGGGGTTTCCACTGGCATCTTCGTCAGATAAAATAACGATTACTTCGGGGTCCATCTGTGGATTCAACTTATTTGTTAACATATCCGTTACTTAACCAAAAATACCAAGTTCTCGCAGTGCGGTTAACAATCATGAAATGTACTCGTTCTATTCTACTTAGATTAGCTTAATATGCGATTACTACATGAAAATTACGATAAGGTGTTAGGTGGTTATGGCTTGCGACGAACGTCGCTCTTACTCTTCGCCTACTCTTGGGCAGTCCTTGCCTTCCCTCGTCATCGCCGATCGTCTCCTAAAAGAAAGGCTTTAACTGCGCGATATTTGCCACCCTTTTCTTGCGTTCGCTGTGCTACACAGGACGCACTATGTTGGGGGATATAAATTATTTTATTACTTCATTTTATTATTTTATATTATTATTTTTATTTTTATTCGTTTTTTATTATTACTCGTTCATTTTCCTTTTTTTATTATTATTTATTCCCTTATTTGTTTGTTTTCTATTGTTTGTTGTATCATTGTTCACTTCGTTGTTCATTTGTCTCTCAACCCAAAAAAAAAATCCGTTGTCACAGTTTTTAAACACTGTCCTGACGATTTAACTTTTCACCGCACGCGAGCTGAATTCGTCCCACTGTACAGCTGCTGCCACGACGCCTTAAAAGCACGCCGACGTCGACTGCGGCGCGCATCTGTGCAACCGCATGCTAGCGTGATCTCGTTCGTCGCCCGTGTGACGCACGCGCTGTACTTTTCGACCGACCGTTACTTCTCCTCTAGCCCGTTTTGGGCGTTCGATTCCGCACACATTTTCGTTGCCTAAATCTTGCAGGTGTTCACTTCTTGACAACTTGCACGGGGCATGGAATATATTAGCCTTGGGTATGCCCGACTGCCTAATACCCCAAGTTTCTATTTTACTATAAATATCCTAGGCTAACATATGTATATATATATTTTTTTGAAACACTTAATTGGGCATACCTTCGGAGCTTTAAGCCACATACATGCCACGCCCCCAGGTCCCTGCTCGGGCGTTAATTGTAAAGCAGCTACCGACCAGGGTACAGATCTTAGTTTCACCAGGGCGGTGAGGAAGGGGGGGAGGGGATGTTTCACACTGTTTAAAATGTGGTAAATGCCGGGATTGTTCTCACAGCGACGGGACTAAGCCTCGTACAATTAGACACCCCACTTTAGGTTAGTTAGAAGATTATGTTGAACGTCGGCTTGCGTCGATGTCCGAGATAAGTATTAATGGGAAATAAAATAGGTTGTCTTCACTTTAGACTTCGAGTTTACTATTATTATAAAACGTTACTCTAGTTACGTTATTCACTACAAAGGCCCTGCCGCACTGCCTGGAGCCCTAGCGCTCCGCTGCACACTTACGATTATCCACGCTTCCTCTTTGCCTCTGAACAGCACGTCTGTTCGTTTCGATCGCTCGCCAAAAAGTGGCGGCCGCTCAACTTCGCAGCGAGCTCTCGCAACTTCGCCGCAAGCTTTCGCAACTTCGTTGTCGAGGTGAAGTTTCGCTCTCGAGGACGTTGTTGAGCAACCGATCAGCTACGCACGGTTGCAGCGGCGGCTGGCGGTTACATTCAAACTTAAATTGTGCCTGTGGATTCTTGCCCTTGATTATTTTTAATTATTCGGCTCCTTGCCTTACCTATTCTTATTAGTTATACAATAATGCTTATATTCTATGCTTGCAGACTAATAATAATCAGACATATAAATCTAATGGCTGTTGTGACTTAAAACCTATTTCCCAAGATATATGTAAAATGTCTGTGGGGTCGTGGGGACTAAGAATAAAAGGCGTAAATTTAATTTGAAATATAAGTAAATGTGTGAGGAGTTGATAACGAACAAAGCCGTGTTATACCTAGAATACCATATGTCTGTAGGGGTAATCTGCGGAAACCGTTCCGCTTAGCATTTCTTTCTTTCTTGAATCAAAATAATTTAATAGGAAAAACTCTTAATTTTCATACCAATTAACCTCAGCTCTCATCCACTTCAGTTTCATTTCAGTAACAAAAAGTCATAAAAAATGCATATTTCCGAGACGAGAGTTCCCCCTCCTCCTTGATCACTTAACCTAGCGACCTCATTAATCTATTTGCATTTATGATCTTAAGACATCATTGGATGCATCCCAACTGAAGTCTCTTTTATTAATATCAATGACGACTTTTCAATTACTGACTGTTGAATACTCTGCCTTTCTTTGTATGCGCAGGTGATGGAGCTCGCTTGGCCGCGAGATCCGCTGTGCACGGCTGCCTGGACTATCTGGACCGTGCGGTGTTTGGGCAAGCGCACGAGTGCCGGGCGACCACCACACAGGAGCTGTTTGTGAGCCTGTTGCGCAGCCTGTGGGAAGGACACGGCTGCATATTGGAGGTGGGTGGGGCGCTGTCGACGCTGACGATTGCTGTGGTGCTGCCGCTGGACGGTGCACCTGGCAAATATGTGGTGTGCGCCTGCAACGTGGGTGATTCTTTGGGCTATGTGTACTCCAAGAAGCACGGCGTGCGCGAATTGACGCAGGCCTCTCATGACATCAGCTCCATGCGAGACATGCGTGACGCGTTGGGAGCTCTGGGACCCGCCGATGGCAACAAGCCAGAACTAAGCAATCTCACATTCTCCATGAGCTGTATCGAGCGCGGCGACATTGTATTTCTCACCTCCGACGGCATCAGCGACAACTTTGATCCGGTCGTTGGCAAGTTCGCCGAGGCCTGGACCCCGGACGTAAAGCTCCAGCATTTGCAGTCAGCGAAACTGGCGCCCAAGCGCCAGAACAAGAGCGCATCAGCGATCTACGCCCGCCTGCATCCGCCGTCGGCCACGCCCCCCAGTCGAACACGCCAGCCGAAAGCAGGCAGCCCACCTAGCAATATGCCCAGTCGTCCCAAATATATGCGCTCCCAGACGCTGATCGAAGCGCGTCATGGCGTTGGCGCCGGCGCCGGCACACCAGTTGCACCAACGCCACCAATCCAGCGCATTCCCAAATCGGTGTTGGGCCTTCCGCTTGTCACTGGACCACAGCGTCATGCGCTGACGCTCTATCGTCTGGAGGATCTACTTAGTTACGGCATCAACGGAACTTTCTCACCGTGCGCCTCGGCGCGGCGACTGTGCCATCTGTTGATAGACTTTGTGCGAATGATCACCTCGGCACGTCGCAAGACCCTCGAGCAGCGTGAGCTCTTCTACAAGCTGTCCACAGGCCCAGATGGGGTCAAGCGAGAGGTGCAGCTGAATCGCATGCAACACAGAGCTGCCCGCAAACGTGTCGTCGACAGCAGTGCCTTTGGTGCGTTGCCCGGAAAACTGGATCATGCCACTGTACTCGCCTACACCGTTGGTGGTGCAGCTTCAGATCCATCTGATGCTGATGAAGCTGATAGTGGTGACGGGGATGGGGGCGGCGGCGGTGGCGGCAATGGGAACGCGGCGCCAGTGTTGCAATCCAAGGAGTTTAAGGAGACAACTTTCTGAGCTGCCCACACTCACACAAACACGTATTCAGCATATATAAATATACATAACCCATTAAAAACGTAGTCTTATGCAAACATATATTATTTACTTGGTATTCATGAAGCTTTCGTTTAAGTTGTTGATTTATTTTTTCGAGTTTGTCAGCCATAGGATCTAGCCATTTTTGAAATGCACACGTGTAATGCAAACGCAAAACGACAAATTGCCTCAAATGTTTTAAACTATCTAAAAAAAAAAAAAAAAATACACAAATGCAGCAATGTAAATCATATTTTTACACCTTCATACATTAAAATATGCAATTTGTAGATTAAAAAAAAAAGATAGGCCGCTGCGTATAAAGATCGTGACGCACAGCTTGAATGCAATAGGGGCTGTGCAAAAAACGGGCCTGAAGCAATCGTAAATTCAATAAACGCAATAAAAAAACAAATATGTTTGTTTTGCCTGCATACAAAACTGTCTGATTATTGAAAGCCAGCACAAACTAAGTTTCATTTAAATTCTTAAGGCAATAACTCAGTCAAAAGCAATTCACAAGTAGAGACAACCTACAACCTATATAAATATTTAAGTCTTAATTCAGCCATTTGATTGCACAACAAATTTGATGTCGTTTTAAGCGACAAATCACCAATTTTCGCCTTATGCACTCCGCATATGAATAGATAATCTCAATGAGTGGCTATCGCTGGCAGCTATTTCAACTGTCGCGCATGCGTATCAGTAGCTTGGCAATTGTTTGGGCTCGCGACGGTGACGAATCCTTGACTAATTTATAGAAATGCTCCACGCTGCACAGCATTTGTGGCTGCAAGACAAGATACAAATATGATTACGGATACTTTGATATGGATAGGTTGTATACGCACAATAGTTTCGCTGTCCAGCTGCGCCTGTGCTTTGTTAGCGAGTAGCCACAGCTTTACTGCCAGCTGACAGAGCGGTTCCCTTTCTAGATCTGCATAGCGCACTATGCGCATAAAAAGCTCCATGGCTAGCTGTGCTTGGGTGCGCTGCTGATGGGCCGCGCCCAGAGACTTCAACTGCAACAGAATGCAATCCACAACCTGTGCACACAGATTATTCACCTCTACTAGGAATTTGGGATCGTGACCATAGAGCGCATCATTAGAAACAACTATAAGAAAGTCAATTATGTAAAATATTGAGTTAAGTTGTGCCTGCGCTTTTTACCGCCTTCGATGTGATAGGGAAATTGGTCCAGGCTTTGCACGTAGAGCATGTCCAAGACATGCAGATAGATGATAGCTGGCGCAGTACTATACGTCTTAAATGATCGCCTGCCCACGATGTCAAGCAACAGTCGCAGAAAGTATAAAACTCCCTGTTCGGGGCTATCTGGGACTACGATTAGTGCGGCCAGCATATTGCATAGATACGCGACGAGATAGCGCTCCAGGCAACGCGGCTTGCCTTCAAAGTCAACGGTGGCAGCGGGCAGTTCGTTAACCAGCTGCAGCGCAGCCTCAAAGCAAGCGTCCGCTAATAGAAACGTAAGGTTTAGTGTGCACTTAGTTTAAAATTGTTGGAAATAAGCCATACCTTGCCCAAGACATAGATGTCTCAGGGCCAGTTGTCCGCACAGTAGATATAAATCCATTTTTTGCTGAACAGAACTAATACTGGGAATGGTTATAAAACAATAGGCAATGCAGGCCTTAACAAAACCCGACGACTTGGCGCCTTGTCGATTGGATGACCGCATCGTAAGCTTGCAGGCGGCGTACACAAGGGTTACATACACTGCATCCAGGTTGCTAAAAGTACCGCGTGCCTCCACATAGAAGCTGAGTTGCTGCTCCAGATCTTTTCCAAAGTGAACTTTATTTATGAAACCATTGATGAGCTGCGAAATCTGACGGCGTTCGTCCTCCACAGTAAGTGCACTGCAAAAATATATTATATATATGTAGTATATGACTTATTTAAATGGATACTGCGTTCACTTACTTGACCGAGTCGTTAAGTATCTTGCCGAGATACATTAGTGCATTGGTAACTACAGCATCGTAGGTTCGTTCCTCGCTGTTTTGCCTGTAGTGGCTCAGAATGGACTTGCACATCTCCACACGCACAGACTCTTTATGGAACAGATCCAAATAGGGCAGAAAATGCGGTTGAATAAGCAGCAGCTCAATGCTTCGATAGTTTTGCATTATCCTAGTTAGAATGCTTTGCAGCTGGCCGTAATGCTTCTCATAGGCCTTGCCTAGACACATTCGAGAATTCAGTTCACCCAGCAGACGATTCACCTCGTGTATCTGGAAGAGAAAATTAGTATGATAAATTAAATAACTGTTTATTCAATGATTTATCGAACTAACCGTAAAGTATTGTGCCACGAAAGGCGCCCAGGTTTCCACACAGTTAATGTATTCGTTCGGATCCGTGAGCGTGTTAATAGTTTGAAAGGCAGCGTTCAGAAAGGGCACGCGCTGCTCCTGCAACGGTGCGCAACTGCTGACACAGCTGCCCAGTGGTCGCAGTAATTGAGACTTCGAAATGCCAGGTGTGTCGCAGTTATTAATCAGTTCCAAAAACTCCTGAGCATGTGCCGCTATGAACTCTCCCTTCGAGGAGTTAAGAATAGACAAAAGTACTGCCCCGCTAGAGAAAAATTTGGTGAATACGGACGGAGTTATTGGCAGAATTACAGACAACTTACTTGTTTTTTAGCTGCTTACACTCGTTAAGCATTTCCTGTGCGGAAACTTCACTTTTATGCATCAGACACTGCAGCATAAAATCCAGAGCTGGTGCATACAGCTGTAAATATGCGCTGGCCGTGATTATCTCCGGATGCAAGTTGTAGCGGGCCACCAGGCGAAAGATCTGTATACAGTATAAAAGAAAATTAAATTGAGGTCAAATTCGAACATGATTCACTAACCTGCGGATAAATTATGAAAAAATCTGTAAAGTTGTCGCGTATGTAGACCTTGCTGGACGTAACCGGAACTCCAACGCGCACCAGGTAACAGCGCGCATAGCTGGACACCAGCGGATCAGCAATGCCACGTAGCTGACTTGTGAGTCGTAACAGCGATTGCTCCGTTTCTTGCTGCGAGGTGGTCAGAAACCCGTAACACTTAAATATAGCCATTTCCAGATAAAGACGTGGCAGCAGCTCACGGATAGAGGCGACTTTATAGAACCAATTCTGACAGGTATCGCGTGCAGCTTCGCGCTCTCTTTGTAGAACCACAGCCGATGCGCCTGGTGCACCCGCTGCCTTGGCACGCAAGCGCTCGTAAACTAGCTTGCCAAAGACGTCCAAAATGTCCGTGATAAGAACATACTGGCTGGGATAGAACTGCAACACTCTAGTGTCCGACAGCATCTTGGCGCACTGTATGGCTATCTTCAGAGCCTTGACGCGCTGATCGTTGTGCCAGGACTGGATCAGTTCCTGTTTTAGCTGATCGAACCGCTGTATGTACTCCTGCTGTGTTAGGTCCATCATGTGACGCATGCTACAAGCATCGAAATTATCCAGCTGCTCTAGCCGATACTTCACCTTGTCGGCCACCACAGTCTGGGCCTTGACTATAATGATAGCATTATTAGTAAATACAACACCTTAGTTTACTCCTGGAAGCAAGTCTTACAGTTTTCACCCCCACTTTCCGTGCTGCTGGTGCATAGAAAGCTGGTGGATAGCGACAGCTTTTCATTGGTCGTAAAGCGATTCAATATGCCCAGGCGGCGTGTGCTCCAATTAAGCGCGTTATCCTCCAGTTCGCTTGTATGTCCACGCTTAGATTTGAGCGTCTGCGATAGGGAAATGTTGAATCATATTTTGTTATTAGATGAAGTCATCGCAGTTTACTTACAAATTCGCTCGCCATCTGCGTCAACGGATCATTTAGTTCCTGCTCCTGGCGCGCAAATTTTGAAAGCGGATCGGTGCCTTCCAGTGCCAACGCCAAGCTGAGAGGATTCGTGTCCGCGACCTGATAAGTAAATTTGTTTTATGTTTACAAGGGGCGGAGTTTTGCAGCTGTCTTACCGTGACATTGACTGTCTGCTGCTTAAGCGGATGTTCCTCCGTAACTTTTCTATGTAAATGGTTTTTAACAACATGATAGCAGCGTGGTGCGCAAGACCTGTATGCAAACGTGTTTATTATAAACAAATAATTGTTTATTTTCGAGATAAACTTACCATTCCAAAGTCGCCATGTCGTGCTTTTCGACTCTGTTAAGTGCGGTGTAACTCTGTTAATGTAACATTCGATTGTTGACATTCCCAGTGAATGGCAAAACAATATATATGAAAATTAGTTGGCAACGCGAGACACATCCGCGCATCTTTTTCCACCATTTATCCATAAAAAAATTGTTTTGCTTAGAAAAATATGGCAAAAGTACCGAACAAATGGCTAAAGAACACATGCCGAGTGTGCGGCAAATACGCCAGTTTCAAGAAATCTTTCAAAATATTTGATAAAGCCAATAAAAAGCTGCTAGGCAATATAGAAACGCTCACGGGCCTACGGGTAAGCGGGATAAGACTCTGCTTTGGCAATTAACTTATGCATCTCATTTGTTTATTTGCAGCTGGAAAGCTATCTATGCTTGCCCGAGCTGATGTGTGAGTGCTGCAACATTGAATTAACAAGTGCCGTCAGGTTCCGGGACCGCTGCATCAGCGCACAGCGTGAATTACTAGCGGGACTCACCAAACAGCAGCAGGAGGGCATACCCGAGAAATACAAGGCACTTATAATGGGAAATGAAACATTAACGCCGTCAGCAGATGATCAAGAAACCGAAGGTGACTCAGAACCTGAAACCGAAATGGAGCGAGAAATCGAGCCTGATTACCAGCATGCGGACGATGATGACCTGGTCAAATTGCTACCGGAAAGTAGTGGAACTGTTACGAAAGTAAAATATGAAATTGGCCCTGACATGACGGATTTTATTGAGGCTGACGAGGATGACAATGAGTCGTTGGTGGAGGAGACGCAATACGAATGCCTCATGGCAGACGATGATGGGAATATAGTGAAAATTGAGAACATGTCGAATCAACTCATTGTGCCCGATCCCACGGAGGTCTATCTGTATGACTCTGACGACGAGGTGGCCGTTCTGGACAATGTACTCGATGATGAATATGAGCATGAGAATGCTGTGAAAAAGAGCAGCCTGCCGCCAAAGCCAAAGATTAAACCCGAAGATCCTCGTCGCAGGGGGGCAGGCGGTGTTTACATTTGCGAGCAATGCGGCAATCACATAAAGGGACGCATGGCATTCGAGTTGCATTGCCGTCGGCATCGCGGCGAGAAGGATTTCCAGTGCGAGTGAGTGGCTCTACTAAATCATGTCTCACACAAACAAATATAAATAAATTAAATTTTTTTTTTTAGAATCTGTGACAAATGCTTTTGCACCACTTCAGAGCTTAAGCGCCACATGCGTAAGCACACCGGAGAGCGCCCCTTTGCCTGCCAGTACTGTGGACGCTGCTTCTCCGACTACACGACGCGCGTCAAGCACGAACGCACCCACACCAACGAGCGCCCCTACGTGTGTGGCACCTGCGGCAAGGCTTTCACCACGGGCTACATTCTGAAAAACCATATGTTAACACATTCCGGCTTGCGCTCTTATAGGTAAAACGCAGCAGCTAAATCGCATAAAAGACTTTATTTAAAAGAAATTTCTTCTGCTTTCAGATGCGAGCTCTGCGATAAATCTTTCATGCTTCCCACTCATCTCAGCACACATAGGCGAACCGGGGTACACAAGCGTACTTTGGAAAAGTATCAGTTGAAGCAGCAAATGCAGCACGACCCCGCCCTTCAGCTCAAATTGGAAATGGATGAGGAGAGTTTGCATATGCAGGATTAATAAAATACTTGTTTAATTATCACCGTCAAATAAGATCACAAAAAACCTATTCTATATTAGATAAAATAAAAGAATATAATTAATGCCTACATTTTATATACTTTAAGAATATTTGCTTGCAACCCATCCTTTTCGAAACCATAGCGATAGCTTATGTAAATTGTATTGAATTTATCTATAAATAAAGCAAATAACTAATTCAGGAATATAAACTGGAAATTGTTCTTTATTTACGAATATAATTGGTTAACAGCTATTAATCAAACGCCTAGCCACAGTCAACACAGTGCAAGCGATATTCCGCACACACGCGAATGGCAAAAAATAACAAAAACAGCTGTACCATCAAACGACGCTGTTTACATACATATATATTTATTGAGCTCAAAAAATATTTGTTTTTATTAGTACACGCAATGCTCAAGAATATGTGCAGAGTGTGTGGCAGATATGCAGCCTACAAGAATTCGATAAGAATCTTTGAGGATCAAAACATACTTTGGCGCATTCAAGTCCTTACGGGTTTAATTGTAAGTATATTATTTGTTTTTGAGTTGTCAGCTGACACAAATATGTAAATGAAATTAACAATATTGTTATGCAGTTAGAAAATGCAAAATGCTTGCCGAACCTAATATGCATTTGCTGCCAGACAGAATTACGCGAGGCAATCAGATTTTGCGATAGAGTCGTTGCAGCACAGCAGCAGCTCCTGACTGCTTTAAGCGAGGAAGAGCTGAAAGATGTATCCGAGGAGTACAGGGTAGCCGTAATGGAATATGCTGGCAACAGTAGCCAAAAATTAATCAATGCAAGGAACCTTGAGTCACAATCAGATGCCGCGGCTATAAGTGAGCCTGAGCCAGATGAAGAGTTGATAATTAAAGTGCAACAGGAAGATGACGAGATAATTATAGAGGAACACAGCCAGCATGGAGACCTCATAGAGTACGACATAAACCTTGATGATGGTTTAATTAGACAGGAGGATGAAGCACAGAATGCCGGCGCCTTGGAAACAATAGAAAATCCACTTGAGCACCCAAGTGCATTAGTCAGCGATGCCAACGAAGAAAACTCAGCTACCGAAGACTATATCCTGCCTGATAAGGATTCAGATGAGGAGTGTGCAGTTTTGGACAGAGTGTTAAACGACGAGATTGCCATGCAAAGTGTAGGAAGGAAAAAACGAGGACGAAAGCGCGTGGGAAGTCTCATATTTGTTTGTGATGAATGTGGCAATCATATATCTGGACGCATGGCCTTTGAACTGCACTGCAGGCGACATCGTGGAGACAAGCAATTCCAATGCGAGTAAGCATGCCAAAAAAAAATATATTACATTGACGTAATGCACGTCTTATTTCTGTCAGCATATGCCAGGATCGTTTTTGCACCAGCTCCGAACTTAAACGACATATGCGGAGGCACACCGGGGAACGTCCCTTTGCATGCCAATACTGTGGACGCTGCTTCACGGACTATAGCACGCGGCTGAAACACGAGAGGACACATACCAATGAGCGCCCGTATGTGTGCACAAGCTGTGGAAAGGCCTTCACCACCGCCTACATACTCAAGAATCACATGCTCATTCATTCCGGCGAGCGAGCTTTCAGGTGGGGTTCCCTTTTATTATGAAACTTGCAATCGCTTATATTATATTTTTCGCTTACAGTTGCGAGCTGTGCAATAAAACGTTTATACGCCAAACACATTTGGCAACTCATTTTCGGTCCAGCGCCCACAGGCGTAATCTAGAGCAGCAAAACCAGGGAATAAAAGTTACAAGTTAATTGATTTCACAGTTGTATTCAAATATAATAAGCCCAAACTTTTTAACATGTATCTGCTTTTGTATGTGTAGGGTATAATTAAACAATAAATTAAACTTTTAAATTATTATACAATACAAGCTTAACAGTGAAAAAGGTTTCTCAAGTATTAAACGTCTTTGCATCTAAGTGTAACACTTGCAACTAACATTTCGGATATCATATGATCGTGTGGTAAAATCTGAAGTTTATCCAGTACTTATTACTATACTATATGACTACATTTACTAAAAAGTTTCATTAAAGTCCTGAAATGTGAGTTAACTGGTGTCAAAACAAAACATTCGCAGCTTCATTATAAGTAAGAGGAATAGTATAGATAGATTTATATGCTAAAACATATTGTTCAAATTTTTGTGCGATCTTTTTAAAAAGCCAATAATTCGTTTTACAGCACTAATCATAAAAAGGTTGCAGCTATTGCATTCCGCACACATGTGAATGGTAAACTCAATATAAACAGCTGTTGCTTCAAACAAAATTGTTTACTTATTATTTGTGGCGCTCAACCAATTTGTTGTTTTGTTTGAATTGTATTTATACAAGCGCACAATGCTTAAAAACATGTGCAGAGTTTGTGGCAGATATGCCGCTTTCAAAGAATCGTTAAGAATTTTTGATAATAAAGATGTGCTTTGGAGCATTCAAGTCCTTACGGGCTTGACTGTAAGTAATATACTAAATGTTTATCAGCAGACATTGTTTATTATATATCATTTACGGCAACGCAGTTGGAAAATGCTAAATGTTTGCCGGACCTAATATGTATTTGCTGCCAGACTGAATTGCGCGAAGCGATTGGCTTCAGCGATAGGGTAATTGCAGCACAGCAGCAACTTCTGACAGCGTTAGCCGAGGATGAGCTGAAGAATGTATCCGAGGAGTATAGGATAGCCGTGATGGAACTAGCTAGCAACAGTTGCGAAAAATCAATCAACATAAGCAACTCGGGAACACAATCAGAGTCAGAGAAGGAGTTAAAACCGCAACCAGAAGCAGACGAAGTGAATATAGAGGAACATCGCAGACAGGATGAGTTATTGGAGTACGATATTATAATAGATGATGAGGCAGTCATCCAGGAGGCTGAAGCACAAGAGGTCCGAGCTTTGGAGGCCATAGAAAATCTCACCGATGAGCCCCAATGTGCAATTGCCAACGAAGCCGGTGATATTGCAACTAACGAAGATTATATCCTGACTGATAAGGAGTGGAATGGAGAGTGTGTGGTATTGAGCAGGGAGTCGCACGAAGAGATTGCAGCACCAAAAGTTGAAGTCAAGAAAAAACGAGCACGAAAAGGCCTCGGAAATATAATATTCGTTTGTGAGGAATGTGGCATTCACATATCTGGACGCATGTCCTTTGAACTACACTGCAGACGGCATCGTGGAGACAAGCAGTTCCCTTGCGAGTAAGTATACAAAATACGAATAAGCAGCGAATAGAAAATTGATGTAAAACGTTTTGCCTTTCTGCCAGAATTTGCCAGGATCGCTTTTGCACAAGCTCCGAGTTGAAGAGTCACATGCGGAGGCACACCGGTGAACGTCCCTTTGCCTGTCAATACTGTGAGCGCTGCTTCGCGGACAACAGTTCCCGGATAAAGCATCAGCGTACACATACCAATGAACGCCCGTATGCGTGCACAATCTGTGGTAAAGCCTTTACCGCTCCCTACATACTCAAGAATCACATGCTCATTCATTCCGGCGAGCGTGCCTTCAGGTGAGGCTTCGATTAACTGTATGTCACGTAGCAGCTTAATTATTTGCCCTCCAATTACAGCTGCGAGCCTTGCAACAAAACCTTTAGAAGACATACTCATCTAGTTACACATTTTCGGTCCAGCGCCCACAAGCGTAAACGAGAGCGTCAAAACAAGGAAATAAAGAATACAACTTAATTAATAATATGATGTTTTAAGTACGTAAATTAATTAAGAAAATTCGATTGACACTAAATTTAAGCCAAAAGAACAAGGAAACTGTTCATTGCTAAAACAGCATACCAGAAGCTGAGCAGACATACGACTCATTGCATTGCATGTTTTTTAGGAAAACAACAATAAAATATATGATATTTTTTGAGTATATAAACGAAGTTGGCTTTGCTTAATTCGTTGCGACCGCATCTTATCCTTGTCGTTAGCAATTTTGGGGCCTTTCTGCAGAATCCACCATTCTGTTCCATTAATGTTCTGTTTGGTGATGCAAGTTAACTATTTATTTAATTAAATTTGAATTTGCACTTATTATTTGTTCAGTATTCCAACAATTGTTGAAAGTATTGTGAATGATTTAACAGCAGCTAATGCTCCAAAGGCAGTTCAACTGTAACTAATACCACGCCCTGCGACCCGCTGGTAGATTGGGGCAAGATGATTGCATCCACCGGGTGTAACTCATTCGCCTTCTGTTGTGCCACACATGACTTTTCCACATTCTGTTTGTGAGTATTGGAGCGATAGTGAGTCTTTAGATGAGTTGGCCTTGAAAAAGAGCGTTCGCACAAATCGCACCTGTGAAAAATAAGCATATGACTTGAAACAAGGTCACATTAATAAACAATAAAAAATTAATATACATATGAATTGAGAGAATTAATTAATTTGTAGTATGCTCTGAAGATAACAATTTAATATATTGACAAAAGGAGCTTGTTCGGTTTATTGACTCCAAAACCCAGATCTCGAACCGGCTAAGCGTTCAACTTAAAATTAAAAAGTTCGCCAATCATCATATAATGCTGGCTCTGAAAATTATACTGAATTGACAGAGATTACATATGCGGGATTTGAAATGTTTTTAAAAACAAGCTCATCCGACTTTATGAGTTGTAGTATACTTAGAAAATACTATAAAAAATTAAAAAGGTCGCCAATCATCATATAATGCAGGATCTGATATTTAAACTGAACTGACAGAGATTACATATGCGGGCTTTGAAATGTTTTTAAACACAAGCTGAGCCGACTTTATGAATTGGTTTATACTTAAGAAAATATGTATATTTTTGCGACAGCTCGTTAGATTAACTATTAAATACAATCAACACCGATTTTCTGCTCATTACTAAAATAAGTTTTCGAAATGCAGGCAATAACTTTAGAGTTTAAATTAGAGGCAGCCATGCCTGCTCGCTCGGTTGGTCACACACAACATATTACCTTTCTTCATACATAGATAGATATGTATGTGGGTAAGGTATGTACTTATTTCTTTTGAATGGCGAAGAAACCGGTTCTTAACAACAACATGCATATGTATTTATGAATGTATGTGTAGACTCTCGACAAGCCGAAAAGAGCTTTTTCAGTGCCTAGAGTTTAGTCTGAGTCTGTTCGACTTGTACGAGTTTCAAAAAGCAACAGTTTGAGTTAGCTTTCAGGTGAGGCGGCACGATTTCTTTTTGTTTTAATGCACATTTTAAATCTGCGACAAATATTTGCTATATTTAAGCAAAACCAAGTGTGTTAAAAGATACAGTTATACATACAAGAAAAACTTGTATTTAAACTAGAGAGTTTTCTAATTGTGCGTAAATACACGACTTAATCGCGCGACGTTAATACTTGTTGCTCATGGTATAGAGACACTGAATCCATTCAAGGTTGCAGGCGTACTTTTCGAATAGTTCACCTCGCAACAATGAATTGTGTGACTCTTTATTTAAAGTTCAAATCCTAATTGGGTATAATAGAGTACTTTTGATTCCTAATAGGGAATAACATGCAAAGCTGACATTTTTTGTGTGGGCGATACTCAAAGTGCTTAGTCAGGTTTCCATATCGATGATATCATTACAAATTTGTGAGCAGCTGTAGGTGAAAGACCTACTTACATATATCACGGCTATTCTACAACTAAAGGCAGGGTTTAGGGCACAAAAAAGTTAATATGTTGTATTTCTTTAACTTTAATTTTAATAAATCTTTTTTCCTACAGATTCTGCTTTTATAATGAAGAGCAATTTACTTGCCATCTTTGTTCTTGCCACACTCGTGTGTAGCACGTGGGCTACGCTTGGTGGGAAGGCAGTTCTCAAGGAAAAGGATATGATGAGAAAAATTGTATTTGACAAAAAGACACCAGATGTGTTTTATTGTCCAATGCAGAAGCCGTCTTCGATGAACAAAATTATTGTCACGTAAATAGCATTGATATTCCTACTTGGCCAATCGGATTTACTAATATAAATATATATTTACGATTATAAATTCTAACATGATTAGAGCACGGCCCCTACACAAATTGTGCGAATACGAAGGCAACCCATTGCCAGCTGAATATAAATCTGACTGTTACATGGATATTGATGAATCGGATTATGCATGCAAGGAGAAATATAGAATTATGGTAAGCAGTTATCCAATTAAGTAGACTCTATGATCGAATTCCCGATGCTTACAAAATATAACAAACAGCGGATGAATAGAAAAATAAATAGGAAACATGATATTCGGGACGGTCAACCATTATGTTCCTTGCTGATGTTTAAGATTTTATAATGTAACCTCATCCAGGCTTAAATTTGTTAATATTAAATTTGATTATATGTGCTGACATTTGGGACAAAATCCTAATATTTAATCATATTATTTGACAAGTGACTCGTTTGTAATTATAACTAGAGTTATTCACATTTTGCACTTTACACCATGCCCATTTATTTAGTTTATATAATTTACGAATATATTTAATTTAAGTGTTCATATTTATGCTATGTATCCCAATATCATGTGTATTGTTCACGTAGCAGTTGTACATTTAATTGTTGATTAATTTATACCAAATAAGACATTCTAATACTGAGTTTTGTTTAATTACAGAAACGATTCGCCAAAGACGAACCCTAATACAATAATCACAAACAACACAACAAATTTTAACAGCTTATTGTACATTATCATTGCACCATACGCTGGCAGCTTTGAGTAACTGGATAACACGGCTAAATATCACAGTTTTGTTTTGCTGTACTTACATGCATATATACCTATAGATACACTACTTATAAACACATTTGCGAAATAACACATGCCCCATACAAATAAGAAAACTTTAACGATGATTCAAATGCGAGTTAATATCTAAATACTGTTAGTCAGTTGCTTTATCAATCCTATAGTTCAATACAATCGCGGCGAAATTTTTTTCTAAATTACTAATATATTAAAAATAATTCTTGATGTCGACCTATAAAATTAGCTATAGTAGATACGTTTTTGAATATTTTTTGACTGGCGATATATTTTATTTAATTTTAGTAGTAAGTAAGAACGGAACGGAACGACATGCTAAAAATCTGATTTGGTTTTACAAAACTTTATATTTCTATTGTTATAAGACCCATATTATTTATTTTTATCATGTCTTCGTGGTATTTTAAATAGAAACTTGGTTTGGGCTATTTGAGTTATTCGCTTTACAAATATATATTGTGTAAGTAAATAACCTTTGAGCACCTTTATAAGCACCTAACAAGAAAGAGAAGCACCGTATTTGACTTGAATAATCTAAATGTTTTCATTTCGATTTTATGTGCCTATTCAGATGCGTAAATTTCCCCCGGGCAGCGAAGAGCCGTTCAACGGTGCCCGTTTAAAGCGATTCATGACTTATAACAAGGAACTCATCTAAACCGACGGTATTATATGCATATGTGAGAGAACACTATTCATTTTGGGACCTGATTCTAAGCTGGTTTAAATATCGAACGATTAACTAACAGAAAGAAAATTATAATTATAATTTAAGTGAACCGGTTAGATAATAAAGATTGGCTTTTATATACTTGCCTAAACAAACGCTCGCCTGTATGCACCAGATTATGGTTTTTTAATATATAGGAGTTGGTGAACGCCTTGCCGCAGTGCGAACAGACGAAGGGCCGTTCATTGGTGTGGGTCCGCTCGTGACGCAGTCGACCGCTGTAGTTGACGTAAGCTCGCTCACAGAAGCGGCATGGAAATTTCCTGTCTCCAGTGTGCATTACTTGATGGCCCTTCAGCTCGCCGGCGGACAGAAATCGCGCAGAGCACTGCCTGCAAACAAGACACGATTTCTCATAAGCAAGACTGTAATTTTCGCTTAACTTGACCATCTTACTCGCACTGGAAGGGCCTTATGCCACTATGTTTGCGCAGATGTCGGTCAAAGGCGGACTTGCCCGTGACGTTGTTGCCGCACTGATCACAGAAGAACACCGGTAGCTTTTGCTTTCCGCGCGGCTGCTTTGAAACGGTACATTTGGCCAATTTTCGCCGACGTTTTGTTTCCATTGGTGACACATAGTTCTCATCTTCCAGCGAGGAAACATTTGTTGTGTCATCGTTGCCATTGCAGGTTTCCGTGTCCAAATGATCGATACCGTCATCTTCATCAGCTTCATTATTTGGCTGTTCCACTTTTATGAGCACTTCAATGGGACTCAATGGCGCTTCCTCATCCTCGTTTTCGGTTGCACAACGTACACGGGTCCGTGCACTTCGACGTACACAAATGACATGAGTGGACGGCGGACCAGTTGTTTCAGGATCGGGGGTTCCATTGTACTTTTGCGTCCATCTCTTCTGGCTGCGCAGGCAACGCTTGCGAAACTCTATGGCACAGTCCAAATCATTCTGACAGATTTTGCATATAACCTCTGGCAAATCGGGTTTGACCTCCAACTTCACAGTTGGTTTAACAAATTGTTTATAATTTGATCAGTGATTAGACTTTGCATTGACTTACAAAAACGCCGGTAAGTAGCTTTATTTGTCGCAAAAGCTGACGTGCGCTCTTCTCAAATAGATTTATTGCCTTAGTGGCATCAGTGTCGACTGCACAGATGCGGCAAATATTTTGCAGCATATCTCGCAGAAAACTTTAATTGTGCCTCAATCAATAGCAAATGTAAACAAAGCAGCTGTCCCACACCCACAATACCGCTAGCCATTCACCCGGAAGCGTCAACAGGTTGTTGTCGTAATACAGCACTGGCACCAAAGTAAAACTTCAAATTGTAGGTATTCCCACTATTCTATATGTAATTATATTTTCTTGCCTTTCCCTAGCCCAGAATAAAAGTATACAGAAAATTCGGTTTATAAGTATTCAGCTGATTCTGCCTGTGCGTCTTCGTGCTTCTCTACGTTCTGCTTATGCATATTTGAGCGGAAGTGCGTTCTAAGATGAGTCTTACGCTGAAATGACCGTTGACAGATATCACATCTGATGATTCAATTAGAAAATTAGATTTTAGCATTATGATACAATGGACTCAATTACTTGCCTAAACATGCGCTCGCCCGTATGTACCAGCATATGGTTCTTTAGTATATAAGCATTGGTAAACGCCTTGCCGCACTCCGCGCATACAAACGGCCGATCATTGGTATGTATACGCTCATGCTTAAGCCTCCCCGTATAACTCACATATCGGCGATCACAGTATCGGCATGGAAACGGTCGCTCTCCTGTGTGTGTGAGGCCATGGGCGCGTAGCTCAGCAGCAGATAAAAATCGCGCCGAGCACTCTCTACAAAATGTAATTGAATACTTGAAATTTATGCAATGATATGCAGATATTCACAAATTCGAAATCTTACTCGCAGCCAAAGGGACGCTCCCCCGTATGCTTCCGTATGTGGCGATCAAATGATACCTTGCTATTTACATGCGTTCCACATAGCTCGCAGATGTAGATGGCAACTTCTTGCTTGGCTTTTAAAAGTTTTTTACAGCCATTTGTGAAATTTATTGATGGCTTGGGAAGTTCGTATTTATCGCTAATGTCATTTACTTCACTTCTGATATGCTCACTGTCGTCAGTATCGATGTCTGTGCTGGCCTTCATGATGAAGTTAAGGTCCAAATGATCATGCTCCTCAGCTACATCTGTGGAGCCCAAATTGTTGGTAGATTTACATTCTTTAAGCATAACTTGTACTGTTTGCTGTGGCTCTTCCTCCGATTCGCTATCTATATATGTACTGACGACCGTACAGTCGCTCTGGCGAATCGGTGGCCCAGGACTTGGGCTTTCTAAGGGCTCACTTAGGTTGGAGTTATCGCTGACTTCGACATGCGGCTGCCATTTCTTTTGGGTCTTAATGCAAAGCCGCCGAAACGACATGGCCTGCTTGAGATCCGATTGACAGCAAAAACATATTGACACCGGAGCATCTTGCGAATCCCGTAGCTACATTTGATTGCCGAGGATTATTTAAATAAAGTTCATCCCTTCAAATTGACTTACCCATAATCCAGTTAGCATTTGAATATGCCGCACTAACTTTCGGTTTTTTGTTTCGAAAAGATTCAAGCTTTTTTCGCTTGAATTGCTTTTTCCGCAGACGCGGCACATTTTCACCAACATGCTGAGCATGCATTACACTTTGTTGTAATGTGAATTTAAAGAAATGCATTTGCATATAAAAATGTCAGCTGCGTTGACAGTCACACATAAGCGCCGACACTCCCACACACAAACAGTTGGTCCCTAACGTTTATAACGGTTATTCTTTTGAATTCAAATTTTTACCGCCAATATTTTGTATAGTTGGTTGCTTGTGTGAGAAAGTTTAAAAATCAAAAACACTAAAAATTGTATGTAAATAAAATAATATAAAGAAAAAGAGTCTTACTGACTGCATAGAACACCGGTATCGTGTGTATATTTGAGTTTGTTTTTAATGCACTGCTTGAAAGACAATTTAAATTTTGGGAAATATGACTAGAAATTTGGTTGGGGAACAGATTGTGGTTCACTTATGCCTGGGAGCTGTTGTTGTCCTCGTACGATTTGATTTGATTATGTTTCAACTGTAAGTCCTTGTGGAATAGTATCTCATGGCGCAAAGCATCCGCCCGTTCACGCACAATCTTTAAATCTAACAACTCCAAACGGCGTTTCTCGATCTGCACACGAACACGATGCAGCTCTAGTTGTCTCTGTCGTAATGTTGGCAAAGTGCTGTTGGTGCTTCCACTGGATGTGGTCTTGCTCCCATTTCCCTTCGTATTGCCTCCACCAGAAGTCGCTGCTGTTTTGGTACGACGCTTGGTCTTTAAGTTGCAGTTATTGGTGTCGGTATGACTGAAAAATGACGTGCTTGCGGGCAGAGCTGCCATGTGCATAGAAGTGGCTATTTTGCAGGATTTCGACGATTTCAGCAGAGGAATCCGCAACTCTATGGAGCCAGAGCAACACGAGTCGCTGTCATCGGGTACACACATGCGGTTGGCAAACTTGGGCGCAACCTCGCGCACTACAGCCGTCTGATAGGGCGGAAAGAAGCACGTCTCCAATTTCAGGTCTGCAGTAGCGAGCTTGGGCTTAGGCGAGTTTGTCGATCTAGGTGTCGACCGCGAGTCCACGATTAGATCCTTGCTGCGTCGATTCTTTAGAGATTCGTGCGATGGCTTGTAGCGCATCGCCAGGGAAGCTGATGCCTCGATGTCGAGCTTCCTGTTACGTATCCGATCAAACAGATGATGCCAGCATCCAATTGCGCGAGCTCTCTTTGTGCTGGCCAGCTCCTGGATTGATTCGTGCGAAGGCTTGTAGCGCAAGGCCAGACTAGTTGATGATCTGGTTGCCGCCTCCTTCAAAGTTTTTTGGTCGTTTATTATGAGCAGATATTTACCATCGGAAGAAGCCAAGGTTTGTGACTTGCTAGTACTCGGCAGGTCGTGCTCGGAATTAGAGCTAGACGGGTTCTTAGACTGATGGGCCGGTGACAAGCTTCTATAGTTTACAACGGAATCGTAGACTTCCTCCTCTCCGTCGCATACCTTCCACATCACGCGACGGCTGCTGCTCGACTGGGACTGCGTTGGCCCAACATTCTCCACTAGACGGTGTTTAAACGAAAATTGCTCATCTGAGAAAAATCTACAGAACTCAGCGCTTACCAGACTTCTGATTTTTATCCATAGCGAACTTGTGCTACTTGATGTTGGGTTGAAATGAGAGCCCCTGAAAATCTGAAACAAATGTATGTGTATAGTGTTTTTTTTAGAAAACTGAATTAAGTCTTGATTGAGTAAACTCAATATTCGCCAAAAAAAAAACAAGTATTACATTAACAGAGCCTACTATACATCCATGCATTTGGGATTAACTAAAAACCATAAACATTTGTTTTCTTGTTCTTTAATTGGTATTTTTTATCAAGTGTATATAATTTGTCATAAAATGTGTGTTTTTTTTTTAATTTTCATTCGTTATAACTAAATTTTGTTATATCCATTGGTTGTTCGATTATCGCATTTTAAAAATTGTGTTAACATTTTGCATTTTAACAGAAATTATATATATATAAGTATTATACAATTTAAGTTGCCAACATAGGATTAGTTTAGGTGTGTCTTACTTCTTTTAAATGTTTTTGATTTAATGGGTTCGCGTTGCACCAATAAATAGCATGAGATTTTGGTCTGACTAGAAGAAGTTCATCGAGAAGCAACCACAAAGTTGACCCAACGATCTTAAGAAACAGATTGACTAGCATTTGGTGTGCAGACTTTTATGAGATGCAATGAGTTGAAATGGATTTCGAGGGTGGGGAAACATTTTGTAAATGTGTTAAGTGTCTCATCTATGTTTCAATTCGCATCTACTTATACATTGATTTACAATGGTTTTCACTAGATTTATATAAAGTAGTTCTTTAAAGTACACACATTGCCTTTTGAACTTGTCGTCGGCCAGTTTTGAAATTTTCTATTTTAATTGTATTTGTTACGGTTTTACTTTAAGTATTAACTATTCTTTGCATTATTGTTGGGTTTTCTTATTTTATTTTCTTGACTAGGCAATAACATGTTTTCCATTGGTATTTTGGTTGTTTTAATTATGTACTAATATGCCTAAGGGCTCGAGTTTGTTAATTTATGTTATTTTTACATATTAAGTTTGAATTCTCCTGGGCGTGGGTTGCACATTTCTTATGTGTACAAAAAATTGTTTGTCTTACAAATGTGAAAATGAATCAAGTTCGAGCTTTTTGGCTGTCTTGTTGTATTGGTTCCAATTGATGCTTAAATGTTAACAATTATTCTCGTATATAAAACCGTTTTAAGTAAATGTATATGTATATATATACACATATATGTATGTATGCTATCATCAACCTTACAATACACAAGTAGAGATGTATATACTATATGCTATATGTTATATATGTATATGTATATATGTTGGCTTGCGGACCATCTCATTTCTCATGTCTCATTATTCAATTCATCTGTTTGTATATTGCTAATCTCTGTTATTATTTTGTTTTTTTTTTTTGAGTACATACGTATATATACATATATATGCAGTACAGTGTAAATGTCTCGTCTTGCGGCTGTTGCTTTTATGTTACTAATCATAAGTTACTGGACGACACATTGAAAATACGAAGACTATGGCGTACCACACCTCGGTCAGGTAGAGTGCGATCTGCAGCGTACAAAGGCAGTATTCCAGACGCAGCCTGTAGGTCTGCAGCAGCAGCAGATACGAGACGCCCAGAAAGCAGGGGGCGGTCAGAAAGACCGACAGTATGGCAGACCAGCCTGCAGATAAAAAAGCAAAACATTAGTCCAAACAAAAACAACATTGATAACAACTATAAATAGACAATGTGCCAAATTGAAAAAAAAAAACTATGCCAATCTGAACGGCCGCCAATGACGCCTACCTCGCTCGGCCAGCGTCCCCTTGCGCCCCATTATTAAACGAAACGTCTCCACAACTATAAAGCTTATCATCACCGCCGAGTCCTGAGCTAGCGTGTGACCCGTATAGCTCAGATTGATTGCCTTCAGCAATCCCATGGCCATTTCGCAGCAGGCGAACATGCCAAAGTAGAAGCTGTTCAAGTAGATTAGCACCTCGTAGTTCATGCTGGGATTCGGCTTCTTTGGCACCAGCGGCGGCGGTCGCTTTGGCGGCATTTTAACTAACTAGCTTACGCTGACCCTCGCCCTCCCACGCGCTACCACGTATCCACTGAATTCACTGTTTCGCTGTGATCCCGGCAGCGATCGCGTCGACGCGCTCTACGTTGCTCACGTTGGGCGCTATATTTTTAGACTGAACATAATAATAATGTAGACCTGATGTGTCGGCCATTGGCTCAGTTGTTGCCGTTTGCTGCTGTTGTCGCCGCTCATTTTGTTGTTATTTATTTGAATTATTATGTGTTGGTCGTTGTCGCCTTTGGGCACTTAAAATCTGTTTCTTAGTTGTGTTTAGCTGCATTTTGGCCAGGGCTGCCCAATGAATGACCTGCCCCCAGATGACACAAATAGCAAACTAAAACAAATCAAATGTAAAAAGTAACTTAAAGCTTAAAAAACAATTAATTACAATTAATATTCTTCAAATAAGAAAACAGATATTAGGTCGCCAATTTGGCTGTGGAGAAATTCTTATTAAATTCTATTTTATACTCGACTTTAAGTAGTCCTCTCTCTCTCTTAACTCTTGTTGTTGGTAAAATACTGGCTACATTATAGATATTGTTCATATATGTACATAATGAAATTCTAATTAACAGATTTAAAGATAATTATACTGAATATTGTAAATGGCATTCTTTTAGCGAAATAAGTTCGTGTCTAAATATAACTTTTAGTAACTTGTAGTTAATGCATCTTCTGTAATATAATTTTCAAATCTCTGTTTGGGAATTCGATGAATTAAAACATATTCTATAATTCTGCATTTAATTCGTTTAAGTCTACATTCACTCTATACTTTCCATTTGTGTTATTACATGTTATAATTAATGAAATGAAATGTAAATATTTCTGTAGAAAGTTCTTTTGGAGATTGATCGCATCTATCGAGTCTAGCTGGCCTAATCTAAGTAGCCGTCTCCCGGTTGGCTTCGTATATACTATTACACTTGAATTAGAAGTGTGTATTGCACCTATAATGAGCAGCGACAACGATGCCAGCCGGCGCTGCGACTGTGCCAGAGACGACTACTTATGTGGAGAGTGCACTCGTATAAGTATATAATTTTAGATCATTATAAGCGTATAAAAATACACCAACAACGAGCGAGTCCGAGTCAATGCGCCAGGCGACAAAGGCCGGACAAAAGAATGCGCTCCGAATTCAAATCAAATGCCGCTTTTGATCGAAACGGACGAGTCGAGTCGCGTTGCGTTGCGTCGCGATATGTTGCCCAACACGTAATAAACCTTATATAAGATATATATGTTTTTTATACAAACCTCGTTAGTAAAGCGTTTGCTCGGTTCCTTATCGGTATTATGTGGTTGGCATTGTTTCTTTGTTCGGTTCTTGGTGCTGCGAGAACTGACTGCAGGAATACGCCAGCGTATTTGTGGTTTGTTCAATTATAATATCTTGTCTTCCATAGACCTCTTCTATATGAAGTGTTGATCCTTAAAGTCGTTGGTGTGTGTGCGTGTGTGCTTTAGTGGCTTACATCCTACATCCAAATCGCTCAACGTAAACGTAAACTGCTTCACATAATTATACCAAATGATGCGTTGTCGTCGTCGTTCTGTTCCATCTCCAGCTCCAGCTCCAGCTGCAGGTGCTAGTCCCGCACCTGGGTCAAGCAATGCTGCCGTTGGCTTGGCCATGGACATCGACGTGGCAACGTTGACCAACTGCTAGGTGTATGTAACGGGTCGACACATTGTACAAATGAATATGCTGGCATAGACTAGTTCAGCACCTTGTAGGGTGATCATTAAGGCACTCAGAATAATTTCGAGTTTGAGAACATAAGTTTGAAAACAACACAAATAGATAACAATAGCAAGACTGGGCAGTGTTAATATTACGGATGCGGTCGCTTGCCAGCCTGTGGGATCACAAAAATAAGAAATGAGAGCAATTAGTAAAACTGTTGAAATGCCTTTAGACAGGCAAGTAATTAAATAGATGCCCTATAATATCAAGGGTTCTTAAAAATAATTATAGACGAAGCAAAAAAGTGCGTTCTATTCAATGATAGTTGAGTTTTAGTATTTTGTACAAAAACTAAGAGTTACTTATTATGAAGACAAGCTCATTGGAAAACCTCAATTGAGCTTGGTTTGTGAAGATAAAAACTGGAAAAACTCATTATCGAAAGAAGTTATCCTGAAGGTTTTGATATACAAATTAAGCTGCCTCCACGACAAACATTAATCAATTAATTAGCTTACCAATAATAGACGTAGCTAAATTGATAAGCAATTATACTAAGCCTTATTTCTGTATCTGAATTCGATCAGCTCTGCTTTGTTTGTAAACAAAACAAGCAAGAGGGTTCTGTTTAGCAATGCCCGACTAGGGAATACCCTGAAGTGACTGAGCTTCCTTATCTTTCAGATCAACTCTGTAGGAAATGCTTTCTTAAATATGTTCGCTGTTTAACGTCGGATCTATATGAAGCTTACTGACATCCGACTATGTTTAAATACAAAAGACAATAGAACCAAATATGTTAAGAGGAAACGGTAGGAGATATCCCAAACTGAAATAGTCTGGATCTCGTCTCTAGCTCTCATATACTCTAAAATATTGCTTAAAAGCAGGAACGGGGCGAAATATAGATGATTTGCAATTAAATCTTTTGTACACGCACACGCACAAACTTAAAGTTTCTAGCTCTTCAAATGCCTGAAAGGTAAACTGTTTTGGGTTAATATAAATTTAATAGAACGGCGTTAAGCTACGGTAGTCGATATATTTGACTATAACATTTACTATATTCCTGGTCCAGTTCATTATGGGATCATAAATGTCTTCTTCTGCATTTTACATATAGCTTTACTATTTAATTACATCTCTTTATAACATTTTTTTAATTTTATCTGGATTATAACTGGTTTTCGAAAATGTATTCCTTAGGAAATAGGTGGGTAAGGTTCCCAATGTTTAACTGTTAAGACTAGATACAGAAGGTTTGCCCATTTTAGGACTAAGGGGAGGAGGACTCCAAATAAAAACAGAAATATAATTTCTTAAATCCAACCGGTTTGTAGAGTTTCGTTCACAATTTTCAGACAATAAAAAATTTTTCAGTTCGATTGAAAGCCGGTTCGCATCCCTTAGCTTCATCTAAAGATATGAGCAAAATTACGCATACGCCATGTTGCGTGTGAACACGTTTCTGAGTAGTGGAGAGGGGTGAGGCCCCGGGAACGGGAGTAAGGAGGGGGTGGGAATACAAAGCAATGATGACGCTTGTCGCGCCATGAAGACCGCAACAAATAATTCGAACATGTCATCATAGCAGCCACATCCACCACCCCCAACAGCCTCCAGCTCCAGCTCGTCAGTCAACTGTTGAGTTGTCCGCACCGCACAGCTCATTAAGTAAACAAATACGAGTGGTAAACATAAAAGGAGCGCTACCCATGTATTTAAGTATACACGTATGTACCGTATGTGCGTGTGTGTGTGTGTGTGTTTATGTGTGTCGAAGAGGAGGCGTATTCGACTTCGCCCTTCTTTGGATTACTCACCACGATCGCTGAGGCTACTCTTGCGGCCAAAGACAATGCGCAGCGTTTCGATGATGCACAGCGAGAGAAGAATGGTCGCCTCACGTGACAGAACGTTTTCGCCATAATTCAGATTGATTGCCTTTAGCACGCCCACGCCCACCTCGAAGGCGGCATACATGCCAAAATAGAACGAGTTCAAATACATGAGTATCTCATATATGAGGCTGGCGTTCATCTTGCTGTTGTTGTGGCTGTTGCTGCTGCCGCTGCCGCTTCTATTGTTGCTGTTGTTGTTCTTGTTGCCGTCAACCTAGGGCAGACACTGCCCTTCGTTGCCCGCTGTCACCGGGGCAGCTTGAAGCAGCAGCAGCGCTGCTGATGTATGAAGAGATGTTCGATTTAAAGTTGTTTTTGTAGTTTATGTAGACAAGTGGTCCAGGCAGCAGCAGCAGCAGCAGGTGGCTCATACGCACACACACATGCTGACATATATGTAATTGTGTGGAAGTGCGTGTGTGTGCGTGGCACTGGGCGGGGAACTGGAACTGTTTTGCCTTGACTTGACGGCGCTCCGCTCTTGGTGTATTTTTAATTGTGTCTGCCCATATGCATATTTATTTTATCGCCTTATCGTTTGCTTTTCTTGTTGTTGTTACTGCTGCTGCTGTTGTTGTTTGTCGTTGTCATGGAAATCTCCTCGTTGCGCTGGTAACACAGTAACGTGAAGTACGTTTGTACATGTGGGTGTGTGTGTTACTATTTAGTATATGCGTGAAAATTGTTAAAAAACAACGACGGCGCTTATATAAAAACCAATTTAGCAATTGCTGCTCCGCTCTTGCACACGCACACAACAACAATGCCGCGTAACTTTCTGACACGCATACGAATACAGCCCACTGCCAAAGGTTTGACACGCCATACAAACAAAGTGGCTTTCTTTTGCAGGCCTTTTTGGCTTTTCACGTAAATAAATTACAAATTTTTGGCTTTTATGGTGCTGTTGTACTTTGGCTGCACATGTGGAGTATATTTGGATTGTTCATGAGTGAACATAAGAGTTGTTCACTGAACTGGGTTAATGAGCTTGTTCTTTTTAACAGTTCTATTTCACAGTAGTTCCTTTACTCATTCGTTCCTGTGCTCTGTCAAACAAGTTTCTATAAGGAATGTTTGGATATTTAAGTGTGTTTCATAAATTTGACAACAAATAAAATATTAAGAAAAAAAAACGCAAACACAATCGCATTTTAATCATTATTTGTTTTAATAGAGATGTCGATTTTTGTATCAGCTACGAATTTGAAGAATATATTACAGTTTGGCGGTATATTGATTCTGAATTGTACATGAATGAGTACATATTGGAAAATCGCTTAGCATAAAATATGTAAACAAACGTTAATGTCCTATTTAATTTAACAAGGAATAAGCAATGTATATTTTCAAAAAGGATACTTTTCACTATTTACAGGGATGTTAAAGCAATGTTGAATGAGATCGATAGCTGTTAAGAGAGGAGCGGTTCTTTTTAAATGTGAAATTTCAATTTCCAAAACTTTAGCTATCGTACAAAACTTATCGTCCGACCGCCACAACCAAAGAAATCTACAGTCGCAAATAATAAATAAATAACAATAACTATGCCCGCTGATCAAATTCAATACTCCGAGAAGTATTTTGATGACAAATTTGAATACAGGTAATTATCTCTTATCTCGAAAGCATGAACACTTATTTACCTTTTCGTTTATGCTTGCAGGCACGTTATTCTGCCGGCCGACTTGGCGAAGCATGTCCCCAAATCACACTTAATGACTGAGACGGAATGGCGTAACCTTGGCGTTCAGCAGAGTCCGGGTTGGGTGCACTACATGATGCATGCGCCGGAGCCGCATGTTATTCTATTTCGTCGCAAGCATGTGGAGGAGGAAACTTCTGCATCGCAACCAGCGGCCACCAACAACGTTAATATTTGCGCATAGTTTGACAACATGGTTCAAGACGCTGGCAAGAGGCTAGTAGAGATGGCAGCGGACAGTTTTTATGTTAGACAGTATTCAATAAGATTGGAGCTTATCATCAGTCACCTTGATGTAAAATAAGTTTGCAGTAGCTTAAGGACACACTTTGATACATTGATACAATTATAGCCATTAAGTCCCCTGTGGGTGTACACCCATTTGCATTTCGAAACATTTCAACGAATTTTTCATTAAGTTTATTTACCTAAAATACAAAACGTACGCCATGTGTACAAGTTACAAGTAGTAAGACTAAAATTCGATTCAATATTCTGCTAATGATAGCAACGCCAAACCGCAGGCGTTAAATAGTCCGCCCAGCGCTCGTAGGTCAGCTCACAGTTGCGTTTCGCATAATACTCCATGGCATATAATGAGATCAGCATGCCATTGCCGAAGATGAGCGAGAACCAAAGGAATATGTTGCCTAGCGTTTTGGGCGCGCTACGCATTAGGAACACCAATGACACGCCCACAACACCAAAGAACACAAACATGACGGGGAAAAATACTTGAAGCGCAAATCCCAGCACCTGTTCATGCACTAGCGCCGATATCATAAACACCAACAGCGACGCGGCCAGCTTAGAGCCCTTAAAAATGTACTTATACACATCCCTATAGACGTACTCGTACAGCCAATCGTGCACGACCACATTCCAGTTGCGATAGTAGCTATCGTAGGTGTGCGATGTCCACCAGTCCTTGTAGAACATGCGATCCCCGAAGCGCAGCATCTCCGACGTAAAGTTCAGCCACGAGTGGAGGATCATATAAAAGCCACATAAAAATATCACAGCACTCGGCAGCATCATGCCAAAGAGCTTAACAATTATCTGGGATGCCCCCAGAGCCTCCTTGCCAAAGTTGCCAAAATTCTCTCTTATATGACGCTCGTGTATGAAGGCATAGAGGAAGGCAACGGCGACCATTTCCATTAGGCGACAGAGCGCAAACTTCCAGCGAATGTGCGCCGTGCGTGGGTAGCTGTCTCGGTAGATTAAGGTGGGTGCAAACAGAAAATAGACATAGCAATGCAGGGGCGGTACATAGGGACGGGCAAATGCGACATCGTCATCCGCCTTCTGCTTGCCCTGCAACACCCTTGCCGCATTGTAACGCACAAACGCGTGCATTTTCATCAGCAAACGAGTGCTCTCCAGCAGCAATATGCAGGCACTGACAAAGGGCAGCTGGAACTTGAGGCACAGCGAGGTGGATACATAGCCAAAGACCAGCTGGGCGCTTATGTACATGATCAGGCAGCTGTGCGACCAAAACCTCTGAAGCGATCCTGCAGTCGGAGAGAAGAAACAGCGTCAGATACAGAATAGTTTTTGTTATTATTGGACTTACGGTGAGATTGCAGCTTGGCACGTACCAGCGCCCAGCCCTGGAATGCAAAGTACAACGCCAGGACGAAGACATGCTCCAGCAGCCAAACGCCCAGCACCCAGTGTAGGCGCCTGAGGCCGCCACGAAACGTGCTCAGTCCTAGATTGATATGGCCCTCCACAAAGTAGTCATAGCAAATGGCGTTCAGCAAAAACATGACCAGAATTATTGAGAATATGTGATAGATGGTGCGCATGTGCTCCACCTGCAGCAGCGCCGTCAGGTACGATTCGCGCGTTAAAAACACCTTGTCGGGCAGTTGACGTCGCGTTCTTTGTTGCGGTTCCTGTTGTTCTCGTCGCTGCTGCTGTTGCTGCTGTTGTTTTGGCGTCGCCTCATTTTGGGCATCTGCCCGCCAATTTGGACTGTCGCTGACGTCACGTTCCGTCAATTTCGGAGAAGTTTGCTGCCGACGATTGTGCCAAGTGGCGCCGGGGTTGGTCACCCTGCCCCTGGAACCTTCGAACTGGCGGAACTCGTGCGCACGCAGCTCCTGCTGTCGCAAGTCCTGCAGCACATCCTCTATCATGCAGGATAGTCGCTGCTCGAAGTCGCACAGCATTTTGCTCTGAAACTTTTGCAGCTTGTCGCGCAAGAATTGCATTTGCTCAACTGCAGGTGCGTTGCAGGACTCTGCCCCAACTGTCCTGGACTCCTCGGCCATGGCAAAATCTTTTATTATTTAGCACCTTGCAGCTTATCAGTTTATAATCGCGTTGATCAATTTTAAGGCAGACCATTCGCTTGGACGTCTATTTTAACAATGTATCGAGAGGTCTGCGTCTTATTTGCTTCTGGCTGTTGTCAAATCCACGAAGTGATAACGGCGCTTTTGCTCAAAGTCAGCGGCGCAGTTGTAGGGGGCTCTACTGCTCTGGGCGACACGCAACTCATTTGCTACGCCTCTGCCCTCAAACAAATCAAGTCACACGCGCGCTCTCTTTGTCTCTTTCTCTCTTTCGCGTTGTACAAAGTGCGTCGTTGGTGTTGTTGCTGCTCTAATAGTTTAGCTAAGTACAATACAATTGAGGAACAAATTAGATTGCTCGCGGCTTAACGATCCGATTAGCTGTCAGCGGCACTTGAATCTTAATCAATCGGCCGTCTTACGAGAAACATATGTGGGTCTATGTTACTGATAAGGCCAATGTTCATTGGCCTGATGTACCCCAGTACACTTGCACTCGCCATCGCACGCCCAACCAAACAAAAATATATATATACTTATACATATGTATACATATGTACATACTTGATTATTTTAACATGCATGCTCATACATATTTGGTCACTACTCAATATCTGTATCTTTGCACTGAGATTTTCATACCGGATTGCTTAATATTGCAAGGTCATTGCAGTGCAGGTATTTACACATAAGGAAAAAATTAATTCATACGTTTATTAAGATAAGATATATTGTGAATGTTTTCAATGCCTTATTTGCCAATGCACCATATTTGCGCATCTGATAAGAAGGTTGTTGTCTTAACTAGGACATGTAACGAATTTCCCAAGAGGGATATTTTGAAATCAAGTATCAATGGAAAAATGTCCCTTCAAATATTTGGTTCGGTTAAACAATTTACGTTCTTGGTTTTTGAAAAGAAATTAGTTTATGAGTTTTTATAAAAAAATACTGCTGAGAGTGCCTTTTGATAACCAAAAGATACTTAATTATTTTGAACATTATTGAAAGGCGATTAAGGACTAGTTTAATTAACTATTTGTTGTTATAAATTGAAATACAAATAATATAAATCGATTTGCTAAGTATTGAAACGTTTAACTCAAATATATTAATATATATTGGCATATGCTTAGCCTATTCCATTGGTTTAAGGCTGAAAGCAATCAGTTTAAACATTTAAAAAGGAATTTTTCAATTCATAACTCCCAACGCAGGGAACTATTTTATTTTAATTACGTATACAAATCTCTAATGAATGTTCACAAATTTGTTAAACACTTTTCTATTTTTAATTAACATTTTTTAAAAAAAGTGTTGGCAATTTTGATATTTTTCGGCGCCCAAAATAGGCCAACTTTGGTGCTGTATGAAGCTTTCGTTTTATATATGTATATGTGTGCTTGTTTGTGTGTGTGTTTGTGCTTGGCATATTTAATTGCAAATATTTATGTATGAGTAAAATAAAAACTAAAACAACAAATACACGCGCATATGCCCCATGTTTTGATAACGAAAAATGAGCCAAAATTAAAGCTCACGGCCATGCCGAGCAGGATACATGTTAATGTGCATGTGTGTGTGTGTGTGTGTGTGTGTGTGTGTGTGTGTGTTTGTGTGTGTGTGGACGTGTGCGTGTGCATGTACTTGTATGGAAAATAATATTAATGCTGTGCAGACGCAATAACCAAAAATATTTATTATTTATGCGGAATAAACAGCAGTGGCAACAACAACAACACACACACACACACACACACACGTATGCCCAAACAAAATATGAAATTAATGCAAAAATGACAAAAGCAGCGCGCAAAAGCAGAATAGTCGAAATCCACAAAGTGCGCTAGTATAGAAATAATGAATGCCGGCTGCCCAGTAAAACATAAAAGTCAAACTCAGGCCCAACAAATATTCATAAAGAGCAGCAAAAACGGGATTACATTATGCAGGCAGATCCGCCAGATAGCAATACATATAAAAAGACCATTTTATTGCTCCAAAAAAGAACGGCATGCTGGCAAGGATAATAAGAGAAAGACACAAAAAAAAAGCAAAAAAAAAAAAACAAAAATAGCAACAAAAATAATATGCGACCGTATAAAAATCTATATAATTCATAAACACACACAGACACACAGAGACTGAAGCAAACACGTACGCCGCGCTTGGCGGCCATATTGGGTCATAAAAAGCATGCACACACACACACACACACACACACACACACACACACCACACACACACACACACACACACACACACACTCACACACGCACACACACTTGGAGCGAAATAAAAGCCTGACCACAGTCGAACAGCAGCAACAACAGCAACAACTACAACAACAAAAGTGACAGCCACAGCAGAAAAAATTTTATGACGCAAACTTTGTGAAGCAGAAACATATAAAAAATGTTGCATATTTTCAGGAGGCAGCGTTGAAAATTGTCCCATTGCTCTCTCTCTCTCTTTCTCTTACTGTGTGCTTGTGTGTGCGCCATTTTCGCTGTGTTGTTGCTTTATAGGCGCACAGCTTTGTGTCCCGTGTGTTTGGAGAATGTAAGAAAAAATGGCGCAGTTTTGTAATTTGCTAAAAAGGCACATAAAAAGCAGTCGTACTGGCAGTCGAAATGCCAGCGCAATGTGAGCCACAAATAATGCGCATATAACGAGACACTGCACGGTGAGAAAGCTATGCTATTATTTAGAAAAAACAGCAACAGCGTTAGTTGGAGAAAGAAAAGTCGCTCTATTTATACAATCACACAAAGAGCTATAACTATGCATTTAATGGGAATTTAATATAAAATTAATTCGCTAACGTATCCATACATTACTTAAGCATATTCCAAAAAAATTGTTTTGCCTTTAACTTTGGCCTGATAGACTATTAAGTCATATATATACGACAGTATTTATATGAGTTTTATGGAAAGTATAATCAATAGGTGCTCAAAAGCTTTAAGTTATGTTATATCAGGTCTCTTCTGCTTTTTTTTTTTGTATTTCAATCGGAATTCATGTGCGTTATTTAATTATTGCAATTACTGAAATGTGATACTCAGCTCTTCCCAAGTCGTTCTAAAAACAGCGCAACATATTTGTTTCTATTTAGATCTTTTAAGAGCTAAGCAATGGAGAAATAAAAGGTTTTTAAAAG